AAGCAGTTCATCCTTTTACAGGTTTTGAGAATCATCCAGCCAGCACAGACACCTTTTCTGAGTCCCACAGAAGCTGTTATTTGATCAGCTTATGTTAAGCCACTATCATTAGGAACTAGCTTGGACTCCTCTGTAGCTTAGTTCCTTCATTTTTCAAGGCAGTTCCCTTTATCAGGACCCAATCTTGAAGATCGAAGTGGCATTACCAGTACACTGACATAGCATACTCCTTTGATAAGCTCCTACACAAAGAACATCAGCTTTACCAAGAAAATTCCTGTCTCTGTTGCTCTACATTAGCTTCTGGACCTTGATACGACACTGACAGCAAGTTCTTCCCTAACTGAAAGCACAATCTTAGCTATTCTCCATCTGCCACAACTCCATTGATGACATATCTCCACTGAATAGGTACGGTTCACTTAAGCATGTGTGGGACACAGTATTTCATCTATTGATTCCCCTCTTTTTGACCTGAGATGGAGCAAGAACCTGAAGCCTCATCATTAAACATTAAAAGTGTAAGGAGCTGGAAGAAGCAGGCTGATCTTCTCTAGAGGAGAATTGCTTTCTTCTTATCTGGGACTCAAACTATGACTTTTGTGCTTGCAGTGATTAATTTATAGACAACTTCTGGCACTGCCTTTTAGGTCAAGCCCAACTAAGGTTGTAAAAAAAGAGCACCACCAGAAGACACCTTTTATAACCCTCCTCAAAGCTCTTTCTATTGTTTTTAAAACCTGGTGTTGCTCCAATTCATGCACCATAGTTTGATTTAAATCCAACTTATCAAACGAATACCAACGCACTGATGTCAGATAGATGCAAGTGTTGAGATAAACTTCCAGAGCTACACCAAGCACTCCCGTGGATGACCACTGAGGGGCAGAGGGATCCGTTCTCTTCAGGGGGAAAAAGGGAACGAACCTCTTGCAAGGCTAAGGATGCTTAGAAAAACAGGTACACTCTGCAGCTCGAGGTATTCCAGTGCAGTGTTACCTGCATCTTTGAAAACAGCACATAAATCATGCACTGAGCATCCATGTCCTAGCAACTAGTGCTAATGGCACAAACCAGCACTTTTCTGTTTGGATTGGCCTGTGACACAACATCCTGTTCACACAGCCCAAAGGGAACAAAAGAAAAGCACATTAAAATTACCTTCTGCATCAAAGGTAACGCCTGATAAGCACAGAAGCCCTTCTTGAGTTAGTTTCAGAAGAGATAAAACTCCTCATCACAAGAGCAGAACATAAAACTTACTCCTCAAGTTGTAAACATGTTTTGCTTTCCTCTCCTGAAGGCAAACAAATTATGCACTGTCTTCCTCCAAGGATAGAAAGTTGGTTTATAACAGCAGAGTCATGTATTAGTCCACATAGAGGCAGGTAGAAGGTGTTGGAGAAGGGACTGTTTTATTACTAAAATACCCCAAAGATTTCAGGCTGTTTCCCGAATTCAAGACTCATTAAAGCCAGTGGGAATGCACAGACTTTAATAGCCTTTGAATGAGGCTCAACACTTCAGATTGCTATCACAAGAAGAGACTACATCTCACTCTCTACAGTAAATTACCACAGCACCCTTTAAACAGACTTGATCCAGAAATGATGGCTGCATTAGGTCACTTATCCATTTATTCTTTTCCATCAAAAAGCAGTGTATGTTTCAAGGAAAAATCCAGACAGAGAAGGTTTTTGGAACTGCTGCACAGCAGAACTTGAGCTTGGGTCTTCAGCAGTACTAGAGCTCCCTTTCTGCCTGCCAGCAGTACCAACAATACCCAGGGAGACTACTTAATTGATTACCATGAGTCAACTTGAGACGATGCCATTGAAAGCATCTCATCTTGAAGATTAATCTCCACAGCAGTTAGCTCCTCCACTTCAATAGGTGAGGTTATATTTGTACTTTGCCTTGAAGAATGCAAAATTTACTTCCTATGGTAATGCTTTATATCTTAAGTCAACCAGTAGACAGCAATAACTGCAACGATCTGAATAAACACCAATATTAGTTTTATGTTCATCAGTTGATCAATACGTAAACGAAGCATAAAGGAAGTAACATGAGCTCTTGTTTCCTTTACCCAGCTCAGGGACTAGTATGTCAGTAAAAATTTGCAAGATATGGGGTTTTGTCAGTGTAACATTCTTAAATAAATAAATAAATAGACATACTGCTCTGCTGTTGAAATTCAATGCTTATTGGCCTGGAAATCTGATGTTTTCCTGATGTATTCCTATTTCCAGAATAGCATCCGTAAGATCGAAGTATGTGCCATTACTGCAATAACGCTGAGACTAGCTTTTGTCCAGTCAAGCCACTGCAGCCCTTATACTCTGTTCTTCTAAGCTAAAGCTTTCCACTACAGCGTGCTTTATTTCTTTATTTTCAAGACACAGAATGTCAAACATCCTGTTTCTTTTCTGAAAATGCATTTTTAAGAACTGCAGCATGACTTTTTTCTGTAAGATTGTTTAAAATAAATAACAGGGTAACACACTTCAACTGAATGTTAAAAAGAAAGCAGGTCACAATCAGTAGTCTGTACCATATGACTCTTACTAGTGTGCCAGCCACACAAAAGGGGTCTTCCTTTGGGGCATCTGTCAAGTCACATCAAATTTGGAGACGGGTATTTTTGCCAAATCTCACAGATAGACAAAACTAAACCATGGCTTGAAATCTTATCATACTACACCGTATTTAGCTCTTCTACAAAATTCCTTATTTATGCCGTAGATAAAGGCCAAGTTTCTCTGTTAATCTCAGCAGCAGTCTGGTATGCTTCACTCCACACTGAAATATAGCAGTTATCTTCCTCTTTCAATAAGCTTCTTTTGAAAATAAGCTGATATAAACCTCTGAATGTAAGAAACTTGGGGCTGGCTTATTTTTTGGCTGTCAACAGTTGACAGGTAAGCCAGAAGCCTTTAATATCTCTTAAGAATCTATTAGTAACCTACCTGGATCCAAAAGGAAGGTGAATAAAGCCTTCCATGGGAAGGCTGACTTAGTCTGCTCAAAGAAATGAATCTGCTTTTTCAAAGACAAATAACTATTCCTATGGTTTTCATGGAACTATATTCAACTAGTTTCTTTTAACTTGTCCAAGTCTCCCTGGGCAAGTTAAGGCAGTTCACACTGCCAAACAGCAGTTTCCAGTCTGATAACAATAGGGCATGTTAATGTTGGCAGCAATACAAAGGAGTCCCATTTTCATACAGATGTACGTTTATGCACAATGGCATATTTGGTATTTGCAGCTTTTCTTCAGCATCACCCATGCATAGTGTAGGGAACTTTTCTTCTTTGTTTAAGTACAAGTTCTTCAAGTGCTCTGTTTACTGCAACTGTTCAGTGAGAGAGGTGAATTACTGCTGTGTTCATAACACTTGGGTACACCCTCTGTAGCACACTCAGCTATATTCATCAGGTTAGAGTGGAAGCAGGAAGCCGACTGAGGAAAACAAACACACGTTTTAGATTGGCTTTCTCAGTCTCATATTGCTCCTGGATGGTGGTGGTTCAGATGAAGACAACCTGCTAAAAAGCATTAACCTGTCTGAAAGGACAATATTATAGCATTTTAATCAGCAGGAGCTCCAAAACGCACATCCTGTCATAGGGGCAGTGCTCTCTCATGCCCATGGGGGCTACTAAGGTGAAACTGACTTCTGAGAGTTCTCAATGGCAATTAATGTATCACAGCTGCTGAAAACGCTGCTCTGTGATTGCTATATGCATTGCATTAAGTTACCTGACAAATTCCACAGGAAGGCTACAGGATCGTTGTACAGGGTACACGTTTGGACATTTAGACATAATGCATTAGTAAATACGCTCTGATGCAATCCAGCTCCTGAGTAAGGATGGGTAAGGCAATAGCCTGAGGGATTATGCACAAGATAGAGCACCTTCTGCTTCTTACACGGCTCTGCTCACTTTCTCAAGCTAGAAGCAAGCAGCAAACGTTTCCTGTCTGACACTTTAACTGCAGGGACAGAGCCACTGCTCTCAATGCAGCTCACAGGGAACCGCTATCACCATTAATAAGCACTATAAAACCCCATGCAGCCTGATGACAGTCAGAACGATGCCTGGTAAGGGAAGAACCAAACTAACTTTCCCTCTTCGTAGCCTTGCAGAAAAGGGTTATTAGAGGAACAAGTAAAAACCTTCACTGCCAAAACCCTTGCTGTGCCCGTTCTGACGAACTCCAGGCTCCACAGCAAGGCAGCCGCCCGCATTGTCGGCAGCACAGGAACCAGTCAAACGGGAGGTATAAGGCAAAAGCCACCATTTGTCAAAGGAGATCGCCGGGCACAGTTAGCATCCTTGCAGACGCGCTTGAGGGACGCGCACCCGCTCTTAATGCGCTCTGCGATCTAATTCGGTTACGTTCGCCTCAACCACACCACAACCCCCAGCACAACACACGCTGCCGCTTTAATTAGATTCCCTCCCGAAAGTCAGCCCGAGCCAGATGGTATTTTCCTCAGCAGTTACGACAAATTGACCTTGATACTAGGGAAACGCACGCTGCTTCTGTCTGTCTGTCCGTCTGTCTGTCTGAGGCACGCATTACAAGCGGAGCGGCGGGATGCTCCTGTGGTAAAAAGGGGGCAGAGGCAGAGCCGCGATGAACCCCTCCATGTGCCGGCGGGGAAGTTGATGGAAAGTAACCCAGTGTAACGATAATAACGGCGACGATGATGATGCACTGCAGTGACAGCGCTCGCACAGCCACGCCGCCAGCGATGAAGCTCCTCAGACATCACCCCGCTCATTAAAGCAGCCTCGCACCGTGGCCCCGTCCCCCACCAAGTGCCCGCGGAGGGCTCAGCCCCCTCGGCCCACAGGACCCACGGGTCCGGCCCCACCCGAGCCCCCCCCTCACAAGCGGAGCGGCCCAGGGGTTGAGGGGGAGCCGAGCACCGACGGCTCCAAGGGTGTCCCCTCACCGCCACCCCGTGCCCGCCCGCGGCCGTACTCACCCTCAGCCAAACGCGAGGGCTGCACCAAAATGGCAGGCGGGCAGCAACTTCCCCGCGCCCCGGCGCTCATGCAGGGAGGGGGCTGCGGCCGCCCCACGCCGGCCCCCGGCCTGACACCTGCGTGGAGCCGAGGGGGCCCCGCTCCGCACCAGCGCAAGGAGAGAGCCCGCAGTCCTCGCCGGCGCCTCCGCCGTCTCCTCCTCCTTCTCCTTCTCCTCCTCCCCTTAGCGCCGGACGCGCCGCCGGGTGCTGCCGCGGTGCCCCCGCCGCTCACCGGCACCTGCCCGGGCGCCGGCGGCCAATGGGCGCGGAGGGGCCGGGCCAAGGCCGGGCGGGCGGGGCGAGGCGAGGCGGCGGGGCCGCGCCTCAGAGGAGACCCGCGGCTCGGTGCCGGTGTCCGGTTCCCGGTGTCCCTACCGCGGTGTGCGGTGCTGCGGGGGGCCCAAGGGTGGGCCCCACAGCGGGGTTCCCTCGGCGCCGCCCAGCCACCAACAGAGCGGAGAAGGGACCGGGCGGCCCTTGCCATGGGGGCAGTGGGGAGGGGGGGGTCTTCTGAGGTAAAAGGGAGCCGGTTGATGCCAAAGGACAGGAATTACATCCCTATGGATGAAGCACGCTTGATGCGGCCTGGTCAGTGATTCCCATCACCGGCGAGCCTAATGTGACCGTGCCAGTTCGTGTCCTGTGTCGCTGCGGATCGTGCTGCATCCACCTCTTTACTTTACCCAAAGTGTTATTTTTTTCACCCCTGTTCCATGGGGTTTTTTCTCCCCTTCAGGCTTAACTTCATTGTAAAATAGCTGCAGCTGGTCGGTGCAATGAAGGGGCTTGTTTGATCTCAGCTGAAGCACTTTGTCAAGACACACGTGTGCAATAAATCCTGGCAGGTTTTCAAGGGAGATGCCTCTGTTTACACTGGTTTCGTGGTGTTACAAACAGACTGGGTTATCAGACAGTTATTCCTTGTGCCACCCATTAGTAGAACGGGCGCTGCTCTGTGAGGCAGACACCACAGATACCAAAACCCTGAACAGCTTTAGGAAGTGTTCTGCATCCCAGGTTGATTCCTATGTCCCAAATGCAATCCAGTCTCAACGCAAACCTATAAAACAGTAACACATCTGGGTGTTTCCCAAAAGGAAGAACTTCTTTACATAGAAACAAGGAAAAGCAGCATCCTGTCCAGCAGTTTTTCATGACATGGCAGCAAAACACGGACTCCCTCAAACTAAAGGTCATCGTTGCCTCCATTAGAAGTGATAACATGCACCAAGCATTGTCAATGAGTGAAGAACGACCCATACAGAACCCCCTCCCCAGCCTTACTACTAGCTGAAACCCTGGAAGTGTAATATGTTTTAAAATCATCTGTCAATGCCAATGAGCTATAATGGTTCTGGTTACACAACCACGAGATCAAACAGCCTTTGCCCTGCTTCTCACACTCAATAAGCTAATACGACGTTCAAAAGTGATGTTTCACCCTTGCCTCAGCACTGTGCATTGAGGTACATGGAGAGTTTATGCTTTTCTCTGTCCTATTTCACATTCTTCTCTAGAGGAGACAAAGAGTTGGACATGGGGCTCTTTTGTTCCACACCACACAGTAATCAGTATGTTTTTATTCTGCATCAGTACCCCATGGGGAAGGTATTAACTTGGGGCATGCTTAAACCAACCATTAACCACTGAGAGTGGTAACTAAGATAGGGGAAAGAGAAGCACAGTGCATAAGCAAAGAAATACTATAATGGCCTTATGGATGCTCTGCTGGACTTCTCTGTTTGCATCCCCCTCCCTTGTTGGATGCTTTGTTTGTCTTTGTCTGCAGCTTGTGTTGTCTCACTTGGAAAGAAACCAACTTCTGTTTGCAGCCATAGCAAGTACTTTCTGATGGCTGCTATTCACAGTAGAAGAAAACACGGACTCCAATCTCTTTTTCACAGCTACAGGCAAAATCATCAGGCAGAGATGGGTGAAACTGAGATGTGCCAGGCTTTCCCTGGGATCACATATGATACAGCCATTGCATGATTAAAATAGGTACCTAAATAAGGATGCAGAATAAACAGTAGTCTGAGGAAGATGAATCCTGCAGTGAGAGATGAGACTCAAGTGGTAGCGAGGGAACTGTTGCCCTCTGAGCAAGATGTGCCCCAACACCTTCCCACCCAGTGCCTGGTGACTGTGGAGGGCAGCAGGGCATGAAGAGGTACAAGGGATACCAGCAACAGTGGGGTGGTCATCAGAGAAAGGAGAATGCCCTCTGTGTGTATCTCACTTCCTACAGCTCTGAAATTCCCAGTCCTCCGTGGCAGAGCTCAGTTAAACTGGAGCCATGCAATCTATCAGTGATAATAACCTCAGGATAGAGACAACCAAACAAGAAGTCAGTCCCTCAGTATGCAACCATTCTGCCACGTGGTACTAAATAAGCTGCAGCATGGGAAAAAAATCTTGTCAAGAAAAAGATGATGGATGTGGTAATAACAGGATGCAGGACAAGAAAATGTGTGTTTTCTCGATGGTGAGCTCCTCTTGTCACAATGCAGCCTTTTCCATACAGAAAAAAGCCATCCAAATATAGGCTGAAATAAGCAGGTGGGTTTTGCTTGGAAAGCTCAGCACTAAATCCCATGGTGCCATAAACTACATGCGGCTGCAGGGCTGCATTACCATTGCAGTGCACCCATTGCATTGGCCAATGGGTACCAGTACCTGCTGGAAAGCCACAAGCCAATGTGTTTGCCAGAGTTTTATTTATTTATTTCTATTTATTCAGAATAAATGTCTATTTAGAATTGTTATTAAATTTTATCAAATGTTATTAAATTTCTATTTAGAATGTTTCAGAATAAAGTTCTATTTATTCAGAATAAACTGAATTTATTGCAGCCTACTGCTATCTCAGGGCAAAATATAAAGGCAGTAACTGGCAATTAAGTCTCTCAACTGATCTGTTAAGACCTCAGAGTGTTGTCACAAGATGTAGCAAAGGATGATTTGATGGTACTAACCTGGAAGTCAGTGTAATCTTTTACCTCTCAAAGAACTTCCTAAATACAAATAACTCAACAAGTGCCTATGCAAAACATGGGGTATTGTGATATATCACTTGGAGCCTTTAAGTACTTCATAGCCCATCAGCAACTGAGAAAGAGGTGAAAGAGCTGAGAAGAATGGACCATTCTTTAGCAGTATTTAACATGTACAGCATACAATGTGATAATGCACTTTGCCATGGCTTTTCTATAAGGGTGCTGAGGTGCTGGCACAGTTTGCCCAAAGAATTAGTGACTGCCCCATCCCTGGCAGTGTTGAAGGCCAGGCTGGACAGAGCCTGGGCAACCTGGTCTAGTGTGAGTTGTCCCTACCCATGGCAAGGGGTTGGAAGTGGATGATCATAAGCTCCTTTCTGACCCAAACCATTCTGTGATTCAATGATTTCAAGTCAGGTTCCCTGCCCCAGAAGCCTCATAATGTACAGAGGAGCTCTGACAAATATTAAGTGGGAAAAGAGAAAAAGGAAATCTGGGAGAAGGCAGAATTGGGGTTCTCTGCGTATGTTAGTAAAGGAGACAGCTTGAAGACGTTTTGCTATTTAGCCAGCAGCAGAACTTTAGCACTTGGAAAGCAAACAAACACACCAAAATCTCACAACTGGAATGGAAGCACCGGTGGATAAACTGTAAAGTGATGCAGTAAAAATGATTTGTTGCAATCACTGGAAGGAAGGCAAGGAGAGGTTTTTTGGTGGTGGTAGATTTGTGGTCAGTTGAAAGATGGTAACAACGGGAATAAGAGATAGTAAGAGAGATGGTAGAGAACAAAACCATGGTGGTGAGTGGTAAGAGCTACCCATGGTTACCAGAAAGATTAATCTGAATGGGAGTAAGTTCTGGAAGAGAACGTGCTGCTGACTGTACCACTGTTACCGCAGATCTCATTCACACAGAGTGCATGCAGGCAAGCTTGAAGGTGCCTGCAGAGAAATGAAGGCTTTTTCAGTGCTTTACGCCTGCCACCAGATGGGTAAGGTCAAGATCCAACTCCCTCATTTCTGCAAGTAAAAAGGAAACCCTTAAAAAGGTGTGGTGTGGTCTTCAATTTCCCTCAAGAATGAACTTCATTTCCTAACAGTGGCTCAAACACACAAGGCAAGCATCCTTCACCCCTAGCAGACTATTTTATACCAGTCTTTCTGCTTAGCCCCACTTTTCATGCAATAACTCCCTGTTGCTCATCAATCCGAGGACAAGCAGCAGCAGGAGGGATGTGGTCCACTGAAGCTGTTCTTTAGACCTTCATTTCTGTCCTGTGCAAAGCAGCACTGAGGGTGTGGGAGCATCTTTTATATGGTGCAGCGCTGAGGGTTTGGGAGTGTCTATTTTATGGTTCAGCATTGCTTTCTTATTCACAAACTGGGAAAAAGCAAGGAAAAGCTGCCTGGTGCCCAGGGGAGGACTAATAAAAACCATGCAAGACTGCAGCTAAACAGGAAAATGCTCGTGTCAAGACAGCTTTGACTTCACAGACTCAAGTGCTGAACAAACAGGAGCACTTGTTGGTTTAGCTCTTGTGTTCAGTGGTACTTTCCTTCAGCCTCACTTGGTTTCTTTGTACCAGAATCAATGGGTGGCTGTGAAATCTGGGAGTTAAAACAAACCCATCTAAAACCACTTTGCTTGCAGTTGCTTCTAGGGTTACTCTCTTGTGTTTTTACTGGTTCAGTTCTCTAGTACAACCAGCACTTGCTTTCAAATCTAACTCTTATTAATGCCTCCAATGCCTAAAGCCAGCCTACAGTCAAGTAGCTTCTTTCATAGGAAGACCTAAATGGTTTCCTCATTCAAATAAATTGAGCTTTTTCATTATTTGAAAGTATTAGAAATCACATTTTAGAAGCTGTCACCAACCCAACTGCCTTGGGCTAAAGCTGACAAATGAAGGTGATGGTGTTAAGAGCTCCTTCCCCCCTTATTATAACTCTATACAGACAAACTGTCCTCACATGCAGCAAGTACACAGTATATAATTCTCTGCTAATCTTTTGCAAGCAAAACCACAGCAATAATGTAACAAATCCTCATGAAGAGAGTCTTAAAACCCTGGGCAGTATGAAACCAGTGAATTCCTTTAAGCACCATTAGTCAAAATGTAAATACTGATTAAAATACTTCCTATTAACGGCCTGAATT